TACAAAGCAGTGAAAATCATTAACAGGCAATCGTTCGATGGGCTGAATTGCACAAAACGCATGATCCCACCGGCTAGTCCGGTGCGCGTTGCTATTTATTAATATTATCACCCATGTACGTCTGGGTGCTGCTGCAGATGCCTTAAAAAATATAAAAATTTTCTGGCGGGAAAGCGACCTCGGGAAACAAAAAGGACAGAGAGCTGAAACTTAGCAGAAGCACTCTCTATACATGTGTGAGCTAAAGATTTCAAATTCAGCCCCTAGTTGCTCGTGGTTCTTACGTGCGGGTAGTGAAAGTTTTGGCCGGAAAACTGTTCACTGAAAAGTTGGGATAGTCAGGTCATTTTCAAAGAACGACCGTTAAACGGAGATCGTTAATTTCTTTTATGAAAAATTTATGATGATATACGCCAGTGAACGCCAAAGACAGGTGTACAGCAGCAGCCATTCATGCAGTTAATGACCTGAGTAATTCAAGTCTGGTGCAAAAACGCAAGACCGCACCAGAAAGCCTGCTGCGATCCAGCCTGGGTTTTACGTTTTCATTCAAAGGTTTGTAAAGTAATTATATTTTAGAACAATTTAAGTCAAGACCTCCGCTAAATTTACTATAGACAGTGGCTCCCGAAAGCAACCCGGGTAAAAACATACGGCGGTAGTAGCAATTTGCTGGCAAAGCTGTCACGATGGCTCCTCTTTCGAGAATTTTTAAGCAATTTTTGGCGGGATTTTTTCTCTGTCATATACCGGTATCAAATTACCATCGGAAAGAATGAACGAGTAACAGACTGACTGTCTTCCTGGCGGGATCAGTCCTCGACCACTTGCACAACAACGATGCTACTTGCTGTTGAAAGCTTAATAATTACGTGGAACATTGATACTGCCACCATTTGGAAACTAAATAACACGTATTTCGCTTAATAAATAAAAATTGCTGTTACTAAAAATTTGACTCAGCGCTCTAAACAAACGTATTTACACCGCAATTCTAGACGCAAACAACAGCATCCTTGAATGCTGAATTTCTATGGATCAGCAAAGACACACGAAAACGGCTAATTTTAAAAAAATGCGAACCACGTAAACAGCAATACGTAACGTTCTGTTCTCCAGAGTGTCATCATTTGGTGATTCCTTCTCAGATGGTTTCAGTAATGCGAGTTCTTCGGTCGCGCTGTGCCATTCACCCAACTAAATATATTTAGGTAAAGAACACTTTTCGTAAATCACTTATCCAAGAAACTGATACACTTATAAGCCAAACTTATACATTCTTCAAACTTTAAACCCTATACCGCAAAATGTACAGTAATTTGACTTAGACTAGCAGAATTAAACTCCTTTAGTTGCAGGAATCGTGGCAGTATGCAGACCGGGAAATATTCAATTTTACAAATGGAAAACTCCCCATCTCCTACTTAAAATAAAACGCCAAGCCCACAAAAATAAGTTTCAAAACAAAAACAAAATATGCAGTACGTAAAAAAAAAGAAACGGATTTTTAAAGAATTCAAATCTCCTGTAAAAGCTCCTGCAAAGGAAGTTAACGAATTTCAACAGAAGTAGGTGAGAATGCCTCGTCATTGAAACAGAAATACGGCTACTAGCAACCGCAACACGCGCCCTCTTTTTCATCAGAATTTCAAGTTCAAGTTCAGATCGCCATAAACCCAGAGGCTAGTCTTAAATCACACAACTGTCATCCACTTACCAACCCGCACTTCAGTTTTTGTCAATACAGCGGGCCATGTGCAAAAATAATGGTGCGTTAATCATTTTCAGTTTTTCTATCCCTGTAAATAGAACAAACTTTTTCGAAGCCTTTCTTATTGCGATGCAGCACAATAACTGAGTAGTTCACTCGTTTTCCATTACTGTTCAAAGCAATCGGGCCTGTTGACCCATTAAATGTTTTCTGTAATAAAAAACAGGATTTATAAAAAAAAAAAAAAATATTGGGCATCTTTAATTCCTTCAAAAAAAAAAAAAAAAAACACCAGTTCCAGGACCCACTTTCAAAAATGAAAAACAATGGAATATTATTTCCAGGCCGGGATATTTCGAGAAAACTATGAACACCAATTTCAGAATATGAAGCAACCATGTAACTGTAAACAATTTTGCTGCATCACTTCTGGAACGGAACAATTCCGGGTCCAGGTAAGAAACTTACTCGAGTGAGCCGATTAATCAGGCGGTTGCCGAACTGGGAGCGTGACTCACACGTTGCTGCATCGTTACGCAGCTCCAGCTCCAGTCCACGCAGTGCTCTCTTCAGAAGCATCAGTGCATCAGAGCGCACTGCTGTTTGCAGCTGCAATAATTCACAATAAATAGCAACGCGCACCAGACTAGCTGGTGTGATCATGCGTTTTGTGCAATTCAGCCCATTGAACGACTGCCTATTGATGATTTTCACTGCTTTGTACTTTAGTCTATGCAAAAATAGTTCAAACATTGAAAACGGTTAAAAATTCCACGCACCAGCGCATGAAAGCTGAATTCGAAAATTGAAGGGTGAATATCTCTCCGTGATTCCCGAGTTAATAGTTTACCAGCCAAAATTTTCACGAGGTGATACTAAAGAGTGCGGGAAAGCTAAATTTGAATGGGCAAGGTTGAGCGTGGGCAGGAGGTCATTACCCTAAAATTTCAGCCTCCTAGATTCCGTGGTTCCTGAGATATTAATTTACCCCTAAAAAACTTTCATGGGGCCCTACAAGTTACCCGCGGGTACGGGAAAGCTGAATTTGAATTTGCCGCGTCACCCGTGGGCGGGGAACACTATACTAAAATTTCAGCCGCCTAGCTTTTGTGGTCCCGAGTTGAAAGTGCGGGACAAAATGTGGGGCACACACACAAACACGAACACACACACACACACACACACAAACACACACAGACAATATGCGTTTTGTAACGCTGTTACACAGCACAAAACGCATAAAAAGTAATCTGATGGTATCAATTCCTGAACTGGAAATGTCAAACATTTCCAACTTTCTACTGCCAACTGCTCTAACATAAGTTAGGAGTTCTCTACTTGCCTCAGCTAAGGCATCGTAAGGATAATACTATATAAACTGAAAGAAGATAGTAATGCTTCTTTATTAGCATGCACATTTTCAAGAAATGAAGAGAGACAGTAAATAATTCAAGTCTCGAAAGGCCTTCAACATGTCATTGCTGCGATTATTGCTACAAGTTACCCAGAAGGAGAAGCATATTTGCTAGAAGTGGCCCAGGAAAAGAAATGGGAAAAGCATATTCGCTCTTGCACACAAATTTCTGGTAGTGTTGTGCGAAATATTAAATCCTGGCGGCTGCCCAACAGAGGAGGCGGCTATCCAATTTTTTGTCATACAACATGTTTGCTAGTCAGAAATAATAGACCAACAGGATTGTATGCAGGCCATGTGTATGGTGGTGCAAATTGCCTTTGTCTTTTAGATGTAGTGGGGTGATATTTTTCGATGCAGTCTGTATTTCATCCCTTAGCTGTAAACACAGAG